CAAATCAAACTACAAAGACGGAACAATTAAAACAAATAGATACTTCGAAATTATTAAAGTAAGAGATGCAACACATGTGCGTAGCGGGAGCAAAGCTCCAACACCAAAAACAGTATTTGGTATGTCTTCACTCAACACAATTGTCACTGATTTAAATAACACTTCAAACAAAATCAAAGGCGAGTTGGCTTCATATTCAATACAAAACAATAACGAAAAGTTGTATGAAATATTCAACATCAAAATTGCACTTCTTGAGGAAAAGTGTAAAATGGACATAAAACTATTTGAAGATGAAATTGACAGAATTAAACAAGCAAAAAACACTAAAATTGATGAAATAAAGAAATCGGAGAAATTCATCAACTCAAAGAAACAACACAATGATGAAGAAGAAGGAATAAAGTGCGAACACATCACACTTGAAGAAAAAGCTGGTCTTGAGAAGTTGACAGGAGTGAAGATAGGGAGTGTTGTGTTTGACTCAGATAAAGACGACTGGTCGCAAAACACCTCAATGTTTATTGATAAAGTTATGAACAAAAGCAACTTGTGTTTTTTAATAGAAGACACTAATCACAACAAGTTTGGTGGCGTGTGCACGGGAAATATAAATAAAGTTCACAACTGGCTCAGCAGTGGCAGTTCTTACATTTTTCACTTGTGAGAAGTGGCACTTTGAATCCAAAAAAGTTTGGTAAAAGTGGAAATTACACTGATTATGAATTTTATCTGTGTTCTCAAAACAGTGAATATCTATTTGCATTTGGTTGTTTTAGTGACATACGTGTGAACAAAAAAAGCATAAATGGTAATCATTGCAAGCCCATCCACTTACACCGCCAAACAAAACGAGTTAACTGATAATGACAAATTTACACCAAATAGTGTTGTTGTCTTTCAACTTAACTGATTTTTTTTGTCACCTTCATTTTTTGTATCAAATATTTGCAACACGTTGAATCCATAATTAAATTTTTGTAAAATGCCACGTCACCACAATTTGAATTAATGTACACAAAGTTTCAACAAAATCTGCCCTTTTTGAAGGGCAGGACAGATGGAAAGAAAACGGGTTTTACCCCTCAAACCTAACACTGGAACGAACACTCGATTAGGACATTTTTGATGTTTTTAGTCTTTCAGGCATCTCCTCTTTGTGTCAAGTATCTTCTCCGGAGACGGATTCACGACGCCGCAACTCGCCGGGTTTAACAAGTTTCGACAGTTGCAGCATATCTACTCTTTGTGTCCCATTGTATGTTTCTGAAGTATATTAAATGAAAAGTGGTTTGGTATTTTTATTTATTATGGGTTTTATCAGACTACGAACTATAGTAAAAAATATTAAAATCATATTAAAGTTAATATTTTCATCTAAAAATAAATAGCACAAATAATAATATAATTAATTATAATTTGATAGTTTGGTAACACAATTTATTTTTAAAGCAAAAAACAAAGAAAAGATCAATAGACTTTTTCATATAATTAAAATATTACAATTCACAGTATATAGTAAATTGACTATTTTAAATAAAATAAGTAAAAAGCACTGCTGACGCTAATAAGATCGGGCGTTTATTATAATTATTAATAAAATTTAGAATAACAAAAATGTTTTCAAGTAAAATATTCGTATTTTCCGTTTTTTATTGTTTTTTATTTTTATTTTTTATTATTTAATCTTAAAAACACAAAGCTAACTGGTAAAAAAGTTATTCACTAATATTTTAGGGCGGAAATCTTTAATTTCTGGTTAATATAATACTTTTTTCAAAGAAAACCATGCCAAAAGATTTTTAAATTTATTATTTTACATCTTTTCGGGTTTAAATAGAACCTTATAAAACAAAAACCAAAAAAGCGCCCAATTTCGTTACTTCCGTATTTCAATAACAAGGAATTATCGAAACTTTTAAAAACCAAAATTCAATAGAAAAACACGAAACTAAACGGCGATTGATGATCAAAATAGCTTTTTACACTGCAAATGTGATAACCAATTAGTACGTACAGATCCCAGAAAAACATACCGGCACAAAAAAACCGACCGGCATAGAATAATTTATAGTATATTATAGTTTTTTTGTTTTTTGTCTTTTTTTTCAAATTTTTTTATTGAAAAAACTATTAAATAGTTTTCAGAAACCATTTTTATAGTTTGCCGGTCGGTTTTTCTGGGGTCTGTAATCAATTTGTTTCGATTTGCGATAAAAACCATAATTCCTTATCAAAAATAGAACATCACCAATCTTTTTTGTCATCGGAAATATCCATCACTAAATGATAATTGTTTGCAAAAAGCTTTTCTTGTGGAATTATTAGAGTCCACCCATAGCTAATTAGTGCTAGATTGAGGTTTGACCATACTCCGTAGCTTTTGCATTTTTTTACTCACAAAATTTTTGTCTCATTTTTATTTTTCTGTTTTTTTCGGTTATCGAGTGCACCTTTAATCAACAAAATACACTTTTATTTTTGGAAAAATACTTTAACCAATTTTTTTGAATTGTTCAAAATATACAGATTTAAAAATAAATCACATACATTTAATATTTAGAACTAATCTTTCAATTCCCGATCATTTAAGTTTACATAGTGTATTATTTAACTATAAAAAATGAAAAGTTATCCAAAATGAACAAAATAACACTGCGATTATTGATTGTTTTAATCAACAGGCATAAACGCCTTTATACCAAAAAAACGAAAAAAAATGTTAAGAATTGATATAGTGAGGCGAGAAAGCCACACCCGGAGAAAACCCCGCACCCATTTTCCTTTTTTCTTCTTTTACCCAAATTATTGTGTTTTTTTACTTCCAGAACATGTAAAAATAAAAAAGTCGGGTTATTATAGTTTCTTTTTCTTTCTTTTTGGTGTTTTTTATTCAAAAATAAAAAATGATTCAAGTTTGATTTAAAATAAACTATCAAAGAACAAAAATTGCCCGGATTTATACGTATTTCAGTGTATTATAACAGTGTTTCAAATTTGTGTTTATTCAAAAAACGAATGTACTATTATATAAACTATATATACAGTTTAATGATTTAAACTATATTTTTTAACTTGTAATAGTTTATCAAAACCCAATTTCTAAAAATAGTTCAAATTTTAACAAGACAAATTCTACAATATAGTAATGTATAGTAAAAATATCTAGAGATTTGCTTTTTTCTAGAAAAATGTTTATTTTTTGATCAAAATATTATTTTCAATATCTATAATACTCACGAGTCAAATTCAATTACGTTTTAGTGAAGATGCTATATTGAAACTCGGTTGTGTGTTTAATATCAGTATTTTAAAAATTAGTTCAAAAACAATAAAAAAGTCAAAATATGTCTTTTTGACACATATCTTTTTCTATTAAGTTGTATATAAAAACAAAAATTTAGATATGCAAACGAATGTACATCAACAGTACTATAATGTATCACTGCGTTATATAATACTGTAACATTATACAAACAAGTTACAGAATGTGTTTTTTATCGTATCAATCATTATTAATTATAATATGTATTTATTATATTTCTAATATTTGTTTTTTTTTCAAATTAAAAAATTGTTTAACTTAAATTAAATAATTTTAATAAAAAATATTCATAAAAACACCACCAACAAACTATACACATTATTATAATTATATTAATATCAACTATTAAAATGACTCAAGTTGCTGAAAAAATAAATGGGTTTTATATCCACCATTATAATTTCTCAAAGAACTTTTATGAAAACTTATAATTAAGATAAACAAGTTCAAATGATCAAACTCAACACAAACAACAAAGATGTGTTTGTATTGGGTTGTTGCAAATCCCCATTACAGTTTGGCAATTTTATTAATTTATTTTAACACAGCGCATATTAATTAACAATTAGAGAATGCAAATTACACGCGACTAATGTTTGTTTGTTTTTTGTGTTATTTATTATGTTTAAGTGGTTGATAAATACAATTTATTAACTATTAGAAATGGGTTTAAAGTGGATATAAATTATTGATTACTTATTAGTATTTTTATGGTTAATAAACTGAAATAACAATTTATAGTTTAGATATTATTTTAAACTAATCAGTAATTAATTGTTTAAAGGATGTATTAGGAAGTGAACCTTAAATTATTTTTTTTAATCTAAACATTTAATCAATTATATTAAAATTAAACCTAAAATATGTTCAAAAGCTTATTAATCATTTCATTAGAAATATCAGGATAATAGATATTAATTTTTAATTTCCTAATAATTTATATTTGTAAATTTAAGGTTAATTTCATGAAGTTTTTATATTGTATTTTAATTATAAAAACATTCTTAATTAACCAAAAAACTGAGACTGAACCTTTTTTCATTCAACAGCTTTTCAAAGAAGAAAAAAAATGGGTGCGGGTTTTTCTTTTTACTTTAATAAAAATTATGGTTATTATTAAAAATCATTATAGTGTATAGTAAAATTAATTTTTTTCTTTGTTATATTTTTAAAATCATTACCATATAAATAGAGTTCATGATGATTTTTCATATAAAAAAATAGTGATTTTCACACTTCATGATGATTTTTCAAATTTACTGTGATCGCAAAAACAAACAATACTATCAATTTTACTAAAACAACTTTATTTTTGGCATAAAAACAAAAAAAATAGACACCTTTCGTTTTAAAACGCATTTTTGGGACAAGTTTTAAATTTTTGCCTTTTCCGTGATAGACCCTGATTTAAAGACAATTTATGCCAACAAACCAATTTTAAAAACAACAGCTATTAATAACCAACTTTACATCTAAAAACAAAAAAAATTAAATAACAAAACTCAAATTTAAAGAAAATGATTGTTGTATTTCTGATTCTTTTTGTTAATGCTTTTTCAACATACTGTAACACTTATGAAGATCAAGGAAATATTTATTGGTGTGATAACGGTAATCAGAATGGATTTAGTATAATTTCTTATACCAACGGAAATTATATCTTGAACATATTTTCTGTAAGCGCAACAAGTATTACATTCACTCCAAACAACGATTCAACAGTTCGCCTTCCAGATGTACGATTTAATGGAGGGAGTTACAGTAAAGTTGTATTACAGACTGACAACTCCAAGCAGCCATTTACAGTCCACAATCTGAATATAGACAAACTTATTTTAAATTTTAAATGGATCAATACTGAGTTTACACAAATAGACTCTACAATTAATGCTAGAGTTTTTGTGTATAACAAACCAACCTTTATTAAATCGATGATCAATGAAAGAATGTACTTGGTGTTTAAAACAAAGTTCAATGAGACTAACAATTTATATGTAAATATTGACTTCACTTCAAGTGTATTTGATGTATATCCAATCATTGGCTTTATATCTTCAATTCCAATGTTGGACAATTATTTTGTTAATAAAAAATGCGTCTACCTCTTTTCTGGTAATGCTGTTACAATCAAAAATGTGTATTTGCAAGACTCTAAATTTCTTATAACAAACTATGGAGTTCTTTCAATATGCAGACGTGACAATTATAACAGATTTGTATTACAACAACAACCAGTTACATACACAAACGATTGTTCTTGTAAAATGTTAAATAGAAACGTTGCGATGCAAACTACACTTTTCAATTATCCAGATTGTATTTATAATTCATCAGACCTTGACTTATACACAACAAATACAGATACAACAACTACAATTAGTGATTTAAATGTGTGGAATACAATAATTTTTATGAAATCATATCAATCATTAATTATTGGAACCGATATTATATTAACTTTAAACAAACTTTTTGTCATACAAGGAGGGTGTTATTTTTATGGACTTGTCAAAATAAAAAAACAGATACATTCACAAAACAGAATACCAATATATTTTGAAACCACACCTTCTTTTGGTTATACTACTAATTATTTAACAAATGATGTCATTTTTTATTACAAAACAAAGAGCAGTTCTTTTGATTTAATTACAGATGTGACCAAATGTGAACATGCTGTTATGCATTCCAACTCAGACTGTAGTACAAGTCAAAAATGTTATTTGAGTGGAAGTTCGACTGTACCCACAGCAACTACATATAATGGAAATACCAATTTGTTTTGTGGACTCAATACACTCCCTTTTCTATTTGATCTGGTATTCTCTTCAACGTTTGGAGGGAGTTATAAAATCAGTGGAGAGTCGTATTGGAATCAACTTTACTGTTTGGCAACGAATTGTAACTTAAGTTCTACCAATGTTATTGATATCAAGAAAATAGTTGTTGACAACACTTTTGGAGATTTAATTTTGAACACAGAGATTATTATTGAAAACTATGAAATTACTACAACTAAAACATATTATGTCATGATGAATATGGACATAGCAACTTTAAAAATTGATATACAAAACAATATGAATACAAACATTCTATTTGTTATTAATAACGGTACTTTGGCTATTAAAAATATTGAAATTGGCTTTTCCGTGACAACATGTATTGATATTGTTTCGTCCAAAACTTCAATAACAGAATACTCAAGTGTTACAATTACAAATTCAAATTACAAAATTATGACTGATTTACTATCACAAAGATTACTTAGAATATGCCCAACCAACAATGAAAATTCAACAATTGCGTGCATTGAAAAAGCATCACCAATTGCAACATCAATAACTTCCTATTATAAATACCCTCATTGCCCTTGTACACAATCAAATTGCGTTGTACAATTTTCTGGTGATGTTTTTAATTTACAAAACGTACAACTTCAAGGAACTCTAATGATGAAATATCACTCTTCTTCAGTAGAACCAAATATTATAAATGTGAATAATATCAATTTTCTCAAAACAGAATATGGAATGAATAATGCTATTCACTTGTATAAATCTGTTCATGTTGAATTTGGTAAACTTACAAAATATGATTCTACTCAAGTATTAAAATTTGACTCACCATTTGTTGTTGACGGAACCAACATTTTGAAATGTGCTCTTTTTGCTGAAGTTCATTTCATAAATAAACAGTTTACAATTGATTCATTAAGAATTACAAAAGATACAGTAACATCTGTTGTTGAGACACAGTAACAATTTCATATTAAAGAATCATATCCACTAATCAAATAGCGCAAAGGACT